AGGCACTCACTGTGATAGCTTTAAGCAGGTTTATTGGACAACGCAACGTTTTGACCTGTACCCAGGTCTTTATCAAGTCTCCAGTGTCCCCTATGTATCACAGTGTCCCCTATGTATCAGGATGTCCCAGTGCCCCATCTCTCCCAGTGTCTCTGGTGTCTCTCAGTGTCCGAGGTGTCTCAGTGTCCCTAGTCTCTCAGAATTCCTAGTCTCCCAGTGTCCCCATGTCTCCCAGTGCCCCCAAGTATCTGTGTCCCCTAGTATAAAAGAAACAAATCTCAGGCACTCAGTGTGATAGATTTAAGCAGGTTTATTGGACGCCAGTAACCTGGTCTTTATCAAGTCTTGAGTGTCCCCTATATATCACAGTGTGCCCTATGTATCACATTGTCTCAGTGCCCTATGTCTCCTAGTGTCCCCTCGTGTCTCAAAGTCACCCAGTGTCCACAGGTCTCCCAGTGTTCCCTAGTTTCTCAGTTTCCCCAGGTCTCTCAGTGTCCCAATGTCTCTCAATGTCCCCCAGTGTCCCAGTGACATGGGGGCACTGGGATACATGGGGACACATAAATGCCCCCTTTTTGTGTATGTTCGTCCCTTTCGGCAGTTCTGGTTATGTGATTTGTGTCAGTGGCCCACCCTTTTACCCCATCCATAGACTTTCTGCTTTACTGGACACTGCTGTTAGAGGGTATGGATTTACTTGAAAGGTGAAAGCGTGAGATAAACATAGGGTATGTGTTTTCTCATAGCTGCATCCTATGAGTTTCCCTACAGCACCATCTCCATCAGATACATGACGCTTGGGAGGTAGGACTGTTTTAGTGTGTTTGGTCAATAAGATTATGTAATTAGGCCCATCATAATTGTCAGCACCAGGCCCACTGGGCTCTTAATCTGGCCCTGGTAACACACACACTTACAGACACACACACAGTTACAGTCATACACAGTTATAGACACACACAGTCATACACACACAGTTACAAACACACACAGTTACAGCCACACAGCCACACACAGTTACCGTCACACAGTTACAGACACACACACAGTTACAGTCATACACAGTTACAGACACACACACACAGTTACAGACACACATAGTTACAGTCACACACACACAGTTACAGACACACACACAGTTACAGTCATACACAGTTACAGACACACACACACAGTTACAGATACACAGACACACACAGTTACACATAGTTACAGACACACACACATGTAGTTACAGTCATACACAGTAACAGACACACACACAGTTACAGTCATACACAGTTACAGACATACACAGTTACAGACACACACACAGTTACAGTTACAGATACACAGACACACACAGTTACACACAGTTACAGACACATACACACATGCAGTTACAGTTATACACAGTTACAGACACGCACACAGTTACAGACACACACACACACACAGTTACAGTCATACACAGTTACAGACACACACACAGTTACAGTCATACACAGTTACAGACACACAGTTACAGACACACACAGTTACACACAGTTATAGACACACACACACACAGTTACAGTCATACACAGTTACAGGCACACACACACAGTTACAGACACACACACCCAAATGGAAGGTTACCTCTCTCTATTATGGTCAGTGTGGCAAACCTAGCCACTTCAGACTATTGTTTTATATGTCTAAGGGTTGTCCTAGAAAAGCTGGTTAACTTATTTGATTTTATGTTGTTCACTTATAAATGTGATAGAGGGCATTCGTATGCTAGGGGACGCGAAAGCCGCTAGCATGTATATGCTAGTTTCACGAACAGTGACTTTCAACACTGTTCATGAAACAAACAAAGTACCGAATGGGAGACCACACACAGGATGTCGTGTGGCTCCCATAAATAGATTGCAACAGTGTAGCGTTCCCCAGTTAATTGATTTGCGGGGTGGCCGCAGTTCGGATACTGACCACGCGGCGGCGGCCATCTTGGATTCACTTTTAGCCCAGCGGTGTTAGGTCGTCGAACTAAAATCGGCTACTCGATGGCACGAACACCGCTGGACTTCCAGACCGTCCGGGAACACCGGTCTTTCGGTACTTTTCGTCAAAATGTGCATTCGTGTGTTTTATTGAAAGTTCATGTTAAACTGTATTTTATGTGGCGTTCGGCTGATTGTGTTGGGATCTGAGCGGTAATCTACCGAAGTATGCGCTCAGATCCCAGCTATCTACCTATAGGTCATTCGGTACAATAGCCCGAATAATGTGCCAGTTATGTATTTTTAAGTGAAAAAGTTCTGCTGTACGGAGGGATAATCCACTTAACAGGATTTTCTGTGGGAGTATCCCTCTCGTACAGCAGTGCATGGTGGGAGAAATGTCTTGCATGTTCAGTTCCCCATGTAGTCGCCTACTGTATAACCCCTGTAAAAGGACTAATGAAACCCCTTGCATGGGGAACCAAATAAATACTGGAGCATGTGAATAAAATCGTCAGTTAACTCCCAGAACTGTGTTTCATCCGGTTACTGGGGGGGATTTGGGATATTGCCTTCATTTCAACGCTTTTCTTGGATTACTTTCTTTTACCAGCGGCGATATTGGGATTTAATATTGCAGCTCCGCTACAATTGGTGGCAAGCAACGGGATCCAACCTTACAGCCGAAAAGCGATGTTTGGGTGATTGAAACTGCCGAACGGGAAAGTGAATGACAATTCGTATGCAACAAAGTACCGAACACAGAGGTGAATGGAGACAGATTATACTACATTGAAACGGCAGACGTTGAAGGAACTATTAGAAGCCAGGGGTAAGATAGCCAGTAATAAGTCGGAAGCTCCCATTACAGATGGCAACAATGTATCTCTCTGCAGTTAATAGATTTTCAGGGTGTCCGCCGCTCGGATACCGACCACGCGGCAGCCATCTTGGATCCTTTGTTAGCCCAGAGGTGTTTGGTTGTCGTGTGCCTGGAACTAAAATCGGCTGCTCGAAGGGACAAACACCTCTGGACTTCCAAGTCGTTCGGGACCACGGTATTTCGGTACCTTCTCTCTACATGTGTATTCATGACTTTTATGAGGAGTTTATATTAAAGTGTATTTTGTGTCTGTCTGTCATTGTGTGTGTCTGTCTGTCTGTCTGTCATGGTGTGTGTGTGTGTCTGTCTGCCTGTCATGGTGTGTGTGTGTGTGTGTGTCTGTCTGTGTCATGGTGTCTGTCTGTGTCATGGTGTGTGTGTGTGTCATGGTGTGTGTGTGTCTTTCATAGTATATGTCTGTCAAGATGTGTGTGTGTCTGTCATGGTATGTGTGTGTCATTGTATATGTGTGTGTCTGTGTCTGTCATGCGGTATGTGTGTGTCTGTGTGTGTTTAAAAATAGTACTTTTACTCACCTTTTTTTCCCCACGCCGTGCTGGTCTCCCCTTTAACTCTGAAAGGACCAATATTTAATATTTGAAAAAGCAATTACTCAATCATCTGGAGTGGCAAGACATAGCCTTACATATTACATGCGACAATATATGGCGCAATGACTAATGGGGCTGGCATAGATTTTTTTTTTCCAGGGCTGCTTTGTATCCCCAGTCCTGCCCTGTCAGGGGTGCACTGTGTGCATGCAAAAGGTGTACTCTGTGTTGGTGGGAGTGTACTGTATGTGGTGGGTTCACCTGACCCCACCACACACACACAGACTGAACCACAGACACACACACACTGACCCCCCCACACACACACAGATTGACCCACAGACACACACACTGACCCCCACACACACACACACACAGATTCTCACCCACAGACACACACACACTGACACCCCAACACACAGACTGACCGAAGCTACTTTGACACACACACAGACTGACCGCATAGCCACACACACACAGACTGACCCCCAACACACACACAGACTGACCTCATCACACACACACAGACTGACCCCACACACACAGACTGACCCATACACAGCCACACACACACACACACACGGACAGAGACTGACCCCCCACACAGACTGACCCATACACACACAGACCGACCCCCAACACACACAGACTGACTCATACACACATACACACTGACCCCCCAACACACACAGACTGACTCATACACACACACACACAGACTGACCCCCCCCCACACACAGACTGACCCATACACACACACTGACCCATACACACACACACACTGACACCCCCAACACACACAGACTGACTAATACACACACACACAGACTGACCCCCCCAACACACACAGATGACACACACACACAAACACACAGACTCACCCATACACACACACAGACTCTCTCCCCTCCCCCCCCTCCAGGGAATACAGCACAGCGCCCACTCTGGCAGCATGTGGAAATACACCCATACACACACACAGACTCTCTCCCCTCCCCCCCCCTCCAGGGAATACAGCACAGCGCCCACTCTGGCATCATGTGGAAATACAGCACAGCGCTCCCTCTGGCAGCATGTGGGAATACAGCACAGCGCCCACTCTGGTCGCATGTGGGAATACAGCACAGCGCCCCCTTGGGCAGCATGTGGGAATACAGCACAAGCCCCCTCTGGCAGCATGTGGGAATACAACACAGCGCCCCCTCTGGCAGCATGTGGGAATACAGCACAGCGCCCTCTCTGGCATTATGTGGGAATACAGCACAGCGCCCCCTCTGGCAGCATGTGGGAATACAGCACAGCGCCCCCTCTGGCAGCACGTGGGAATACAGCACAGAGCCCTCCTCTGGCAGCATGTGGGAATACAGCACAGCGCCCCCTCTGGCAGCATGTGGGAATACAGCACAGCGCCCCCTCTGGCAGTATGTGGGAATATAGCACAGCGCCCCCTCTTGTCACATGTGGAAATACAGCACAGCGCCCCCTCTGGCAGCATGTGGGAATACAGCACAGCGCCCTCCTCTGGCAGCATGTGGGAATACAGCACAGCGCCCCCTCTGGCAGCATGTGGGAATACAGCACAGCGCCCCCTCTGGCAGCATGTGGGAATACAGCACAGCGCCCCCTCTGGCAGCATGTGGGAATACAGCACAGCGCCCCCTCTGGCAGCATGTGGGAATACAGCACAGCGCCCCCTCTGGCAGCATGTGGGAATACAGCACAGCGCCCCCTCTGGCAGCATGTGGGAATACAGCACAGCGCTCCCTCTGGCAGCATGTGGGAATACAGCACAGCGCCCCCTCTGGCAGCATGTGGGAATACAGCACAGCGCCCCCTCTGGCAGCATGTGGGAATACAGCACAGCGCCCCCTCTGGCAGCATGTGGGAATACAGCACAGCGCCCCCTCTGGCAGCATGTGGGAATACAGCACAGCGCCCCCTCTGACAGCATGTGGGAATACAGCACAGCGCCCCATCTGGCAGCATGTGGGAATACAGCACAGCGCCCCCTCTGGCAGCATGTGGGAATACAGCACAACGCCCCTCTGGCAGCATGTGGAAATACAGCACAGGGCCCCCTCTGGCAGCATGTGGGAATACAGCACAGCGCCCCCTCTGGCAGCATGTGGGAATACAGCACAGCGCCCTCCTCTGGCAGCATGTGGGAATCCAGCACAGCACCCCCTCTGACAGCATGTGGGAATACAGCACAGCGCCCTCCTCTGGCAGCATGTGGGAATACAGCACAGCGCCCCCTCTGCAGCATGTGGCATGTGGGAATACAGCACAGCGCCCCCTCTGGCAGCATGTGGGAATACAGCACAGCGCCCCCTCTGAGAGCATGTGGGAATACAGCACAGCGCCCCCTCTGGCAGCATGTGGGAATACAGCACAGCGCCCCCTCTGGCAGCATGTGGGAATACAGCACAGCGCCCCCTCTGGCAGCATGTGGGAATACAGCACAGCGCCCCCTCTGGCAGCATGTGGGAATACAGCACAGCGCCCCCTCTGGCAGCATGTGGGAATACAGCACAGCGCCCCCTCTGGCAGCATGTGGGAATACAGCACAGCGCCCCCTCTGGCAGCATGTAGGAATACAGCACAGCGCCCTCCTCTGGCAGCATGTGGGAATCCAGCACAGGGCCCCCTCTGGCAGCATGTGGGAATACAGCACAGCGCCCCCTCTGGCAGCACGTGGGAATACAGCACAGCGCCCTCCTCTGGCAGGATGTGGGAATACAGCACAGCGCCCCTTCTGGCAGCATGTGGGAATACAGCACAGCAGCCCCTCTGGCAGCATGTGGGAATACAGCACAGCAGCCCCTCTGGCAGCATGTGGGAATACAACACAGCGGCCCCTCTGGCAGCATGTGGGAATACAGCACACCGCCCCCGTCTGGCAGCATGTGGGAATACAGCACAGCGCCTTCCACTGGCAGCATGTGGGAATACAGCACAGCGCCCCCTCTGGCCGCATGTGGGAATACAGCACAGCACAGTGCCCCCTCTGACAGCATGTGGGAATACAGCACAGCGCCCCCTCTGGCAGCATGTGGGAATACAGCACAGCGCCCCCTCTGGCAGCATGTGGGAATACAGCACAGCGCCCCCTCTGGCAGCATGTGGGAATACAGCACAGCGCCCCCTCTGGCAGCATGTGGGAATACAGCACAGCGCCCCCTCTGGCAGCATGTGGGAATACAGCACAGCGCCCCCTCTGGCAGCATGTGGGAATACAGCACAGCGCCCCCTCTGACAGCATGTGGGAATACAGCACAGCGCCCCATCTGGCAGCATGTGGGAATACAGCACAGCACCCCCTCTGACAGCATGTGGGAATACAGCACAGCAGCCCTCCACTCTGGCAGCATGTAGGAGCCAACTCAAGCGCCCCTCTGGCAGTATGTGGGAATACAGCACAACCCCCCTCTGGCAGCATGTGAATACAGCTGGCGCCTCCTCTCTGGCAGCATGTGGGAATACAGCACAGCGCCCCTCTGGCATGTGGGAATACAGCACAGCCCCCTCGGTGACAGCATGGCAGGAGCCTGGCACAGCGCCCCTTCTGGCAGCATGTGGGAATACAGCACAGCGCCCCCTCTGGCAGCATGTGGGAATACAGCACAGCGCCCCCTCTGGCAGCATGTGGGAATACAGCACAGCGCCCCCTCTGGCAGCATGTGGGAATACAGCACAGCGCCCCCTCTGGCAGCATGTGGGAATACAGCACAGCGCCCCCTCTGGCAGCATGTGGGAATACAGCACAGCGCCCCCTCTGGCAGCATGTGGGAATACAGCACAGCGCCCTCCTCTGGCGGCATGTGGGAATACAGCACAGCGCCCCCCTCTGGCAGCATGTGGGAATACAGCACAGCGCCCTCCTCTGGCGGCATGTGGGAATACAGCACAGCGCTCCCTCTGGCCGCATGTGGGAATACAGCACAGCGCCCCCTCTGGCAGCATGTGGGAATACAGCACAGGGCCCCCTCTGGCAGCATGTGGGAATACAGCACAGCGCCCCCTCTGGCAGCATGTGGGAATACAGCACAGCGCCCCCTCTGGCAGCATGTGGGAATACAGCACAGTGCCCCCTCTGGCAGTATGTGGGAATACAGCACAGCGCCCCCTCTGACAGCACGTGGGAATACAGCACAGCGCCCCATCCCCTGGCAGCATAGGAATGAGCACAGCGCCCCCTCTGACGCATGTGGGAATACAGCACAGCTCTGTAACATGTGGGAATACAGCACAGCGCCCCCTCTGGCAGCATGTGGGAATACAGCACAGCCCCCTCTGGCAGCATGTGGGAATACAGCACAGCGCCCCCTCTGGCAGCATGTGGGAATACAGCACAGCGCCCCCTCTGGCAGCATGTGGGAATACAGCACAGCGCCCCCTCTGGCAGCATGTGGGAATACAGCACAGCGCCCCCTCTGGCAGCATGTGGGAATACAGCACAGCGCCCCCTCTGGCAGCATGTGGGAATACAGCACAGCGCCCCCTCTGGCAGCATGTGGGAATACAGCACAGCGCCCCCTCTGGCAGCATGTGGGAATACAGCACAGCGCCCCTCTGGCAGCATGTGGGAATACAGCACAGCGCCCCCTCTGGCAGCATGTGGGAATACAGCACAGCGCCCCCTCTGGCAGCATGTGGGAATACAGCACAGCGCCCCCTCTGGCAGCATGTGGGAATACAGCACAGCGCCCCCTCTGGCAGCATGTGGGAATACAGCACAGCGCCCCCTCTGGCAGCATGTGGGAATACAGCACAGCGCCCCCTCTGGCAGCATGTGGGAATACAGCACAGCGCTCCCTGGCATGTGGGAATACAGCACAGCCCCCTCTGGCAGCATGTGGGAATACAGCACAGCCCCATCTGGCAGCATGTGGGAATACAGCACAGCGCCCTCTGGCAGCATGTGGGAATACAGCACAGCGCTCCCTCTGGCAGCATGTGGGAATACAGCACAGCACCCTCTGGCAGCATGTGGGAATACAGCACAGCGCCCCTCTGGCAGCATGTGGGAATACAGCACAGCGCCCTCTGGCAGCATGTGGGAATACAGCACAGCGCCCCCTCTGGCAGCATGTGGGAATACAGCACAGCGCCCCCTCTGGCAGCATGTGGGAATACAGCACAGCGCCCCCTCTGGCAGCATGTGGGAATACAGCACAGCGCTCCCTCTGGCAGCATGTGGGAATACAGCACAGCGCCCCCTCTGGCAGCATGTGGGAATACAGCACAGCGCCCCCTCTGACAGCATGTGGGAATACAGCACAGCGCCCCCTCTGGCAGCATGTGGGAATACAGCACAGCGCCCCCTCTGGCAGCATGTGGGAATACAACACAGCGGCCCCTCTGGCAGCATGTGGGAATACAGCACACCGCCCCCGTCTGGCAGCATGTGGGAATACAGCACAGCGCCTCCCACTGGCAGCATGTGGGAATACAGCACAGCGCCCCCTCTGGCCGCATGTGGGAATACAGCAAAGCGCACTGGAGGGCAGGAGGCGGCAGGGGAAGGCCGTGGCAGGCTCGGAGGCGGGCGGCTGTCCTGGACATCTGCGACGCGCCCCCCAGGCTGGATGGGGTTGCGTCTGGAGCGGAGGCCGCGATGGTGGCTCGATGGCCCTGTGTGGAGTCGGGCGGGAAGGGGTCACGGCCCGGGAGGGCGCCCCCATCGCTAGTGGCCGTGGACGGTAGAGCCTGGGCCGGGGCGGCTCAGAGCAGTCAGTGTTATCAAGGCAACAGGTGGGCTCGCTGGTTGGCGGGATATCGGCGGATGTCGTTCATCCTGGTCACGCAGTGGTTAACAGCGCAGCCCCAGGTGCTTCCGGATCGAGGGTCTTGGCTGGTGAGTCCAGCGAATCATTAAGTTCCTGTGTATTAGTGCAAACACTGCAATCACTGCTCCACTCACTGGGGGCAGGGGGGTTGTACAAGGTGTGGCATAGGGCAGGTGTGGGCGCAGGGGACGGTCGACGCGGGGACCAGTGGCGGGTCCTCGGCAGTAGCAGCTTCCAGCGGGGATGCGGGGGCAGAGTCCAGAGCGGGGGAGACGGGGAGTGAGCAGGCGGAGTTAACTGGGGGGGTGCCGCACACGGCAAGGCAGCGTGCGTACGTGTCATTTGCGGGCCCGCTGGGGGTGCACCTCAAGCAGGAGGTGAAAGAAAAAATTTGGAAGGGGGAATTCTGTGAGATCTTTTCCCTTCTTCCTTTGGAGGACTTTATTGACCTTAAGGAAGAAGATAAGAAAGACGAGAAAAAGGAGGAGGAAGAAAAGCGGAGGCAGTATCGCAAGATACCGAAGTCCTTTGGTAACTGGTTGAGGGCGTTCTGCATCCTGGCCAGCGTAATAGGGGAGAAATTGCCAAGTTCCTGCTCATCCCTGTTTTGCTACTTAGACGGGATTTGGGAGGCGTACCGCACCTATGGCGGACTGGCCTGGTGGCAGTACGATGAGCAGTTCCGGCAGCGGTTGGCGGCCAATCCAGGTACGAGGTGGAACCAAATGGACCTGCCTCTCTGGATGAAGCAGTTCCGGCAGCAGTTGGCGGCCAATCCAGGTACGAGGTGGAACCAAATGGACCTGCCTCTCTGGATGAAGCTCTCTGGATGAAGCACACGGCTGGCGCAAAGGGTCAGTCCGCCTCGTTGGCCGCCTTGCAGAAGGGCTTATGCTGGCTCTTCAATGAAGGTAAGTGCAAGTGGGGTACATACTGCCGCTTTAAACATGAGTGCTCGGGCTGTGGGGGGGCCCACGGGCTCCAACGATGCTTTAAAAAAGGAAAGTCGGGTGGAGCCGGAACTCCTTCCGCAGTTGGCGGTGGGGGGACTTCCATTGCCCCGGGGCCTAACCCCGGCGAGGTTACATGTGATGGAGCCCTGGCTAAGCCGCTACGGTAATAGGACAGACGCAGAGCTGCTCAGGGCTGAGTTTGGACAAGGGTTCTTCATTCCCTTCCGGGAGAGGGGCGGTACGGTGTGTCTGCGTAATCTCAAGTCGGTAGCGGAATTCCCGGGGGTGGTACGGGAAAAACTTCGCAAGGAAGTACTGTTGGGTAGGATGGCGGGAACGTTCCCAGCACGCTGGAGGGCCTCAGGGTTTCCCCTCTCGGGGTGGTCTCCAAGAAGGAGATGGGGACGTTTAGGCTCATTCACCACCTCTCCTATCCCAAAGGAGCGTC